AACTTAAAATGGTCAAAACTGGTTGTGAATGCTACATTGGTATATTGGTGAAGGTAAAGGCCTTATCACAAGGGATACCGATAAACCTGATTACGAATATGACACCTATTCTTGGCATTGGCACCATTTGGCACCAACCTAGGAGCGCCAGCCCGAAACGCATAAAAAACTTGGTCATCATGGGGAATCGAACCAGGACTAGCTCATGCTTCCTTTTCAGGTTTACGTAGCAATTTTTGTATTCACATTAGTAACCATCATCCCAGGTTCTATCGATTGGACTAGGTCTCAATTCAAAGTTCTACAGAAAGTTGAAAGCCTTCCCCCTTCACAGGCAAATACCGCGATTGAATTGGTTCAAATAATGAAAGTAGTTGTGGTGCTCGGTCCACCTATAAAAACAGCAAAAAAATCTACTAACCCAAAACCTCTACGCGCACCAATGCCCTTCGCTGTCAGCGTCTCGCTAGTTCCCCTGGCTCTCTCGTCCGATTCGTCAGACTTTTCATATTTTCCTTTGCCTAGCATTTATCCGTCATCAGCTCGCAAAGTGCTGTAAAGTAACTACAAAAGGGAGGGCAATAGAGCGTGCTCAACGATTTCTTCCGATTTATTTCAATTTAAATGTCTTAAAATTCCATGTTCAAACCTCACTACCTAATTATCTACTACCACGGAATGTGCCTTTAATGGCAGCAAACGGTTCATTAATCGTGCACACGTATTATTTTCAGGTTCTGACTCATACCTTCTCAAACATCAGCGGTCAAAAAGAGCGCCGGCCACGAAATTCTCTGCAAGTCTCACTAGCCTTTGGGGGAAACCCAGTATGGGGGTGGGGATCCCTCCCTGTCATTTATCCGGTCTCCTAGAGAGCACTCCTTTATACCTTAAGGTGTAAGGTAAGGTGGTGGTGCGTTTGGTGGGATAGTCGGTTCCTATGGATAAGATAATACCTTAAGACTCATTTCACTTTTGATATGGACTGGTGTAATCTCTACATCACGCACATCTTGCTCACATCCTAGATCGATGGCATGTTCGTCCACCCTGGGCTCCTACACCCTTTTGCCTAGGAAAGGATGTCCTCCTCAGTTCCTCAGACCATTTCGACTTTGAGGACCATTTCCTCAGACAACAGCAGGCCGAAATCTGAAAGCGTCCTACAAGTACTTCCACATATAACCGGTCCTTATCAGGAGTAATTTTAGATGAACATCAAGTGTCATAAAAATTCTTATCAGTTTCCTTAGTATTGGAGAGCACAATGGAGTGCCCCTCCCCTCCGAACTGGACTTTCACCTGCTTCTGTCGAGTGTATATCAGTTCTCCTCGTTAGGTCAGATCACCTAGAATTGTGCACCTATGCCTTGCTGGTGGGGCCTAGGGTTAGCCTAACCCTAACCTTAGGCCTAAGGCTAAGTCTGGAAGTCAGTGTGTGAGCATAGGCCTAATCCCAAACCTGAAGCCTCCATCCTAAACTTAAGCGTTCCTGATCACTCTAATCCTCATGGAATAACTAGAGCATCCTTCGCGCTCCCGTTAAAGGGCTGAGGGATTACCAAAAATTGACATGCTAGGAGCAAGTATTGAGAAAAAATTCGCTTCATATTGAGCCATCAACTCAAGCAAAAAAAACATACCGCTGATAATTTGAGAAAAATCCATTTTAGACATCACTGCGCTGCAGAAGTGGTGCGACTCCTGCGTTGTATCGAAATGTGATAGATCTTAATTACTCCTCCGGAATGAGTGTAATAAGAGTTGCAGATTGTACTTGTTGACTGCAGTCAGCAGCCCCGCTTTCAATTCGACGTATGCTTGCACTCAACTACGGCAATCGGCTAGTTTTACTACCATCAAACCGTAAAACCGTATGTTTCATAGCCTAGGAAGGGTGGTTCCACCACTCACTTCAGGCCAGGGTCACCGTGACGTTCGCAGTTTTCCAAAAACATTTCCGCCGACCGCAGCCCTCTTCTTTAGGAGGCCTCCGACTGCAACCCCCCCCTCCCCCAACTACACCATGAGACTCAGTGGCTCCCCCAACATACGACCACCTTTCTCGCTAACCATACGACGGGCTGAACTGCACCGCCTCTTCATCGTGGCTGTTTCAATAGATTCTGAGACCAGTAGACGAGAACCAAAGCCCAACTCCACCCCACTTTTACCTCCCAAAACGGCCGTTGAGCGGAGGGAGGTAGATGAAAAAATGAAAATGAAACGACAAGGTTTCCCTGACTCTTTTCCTACCTATCCTTATCTCTCATTCTACGCCATAAAGTCCTCAAAATACACATCTAAATCGCCGTTCTCAACAATTTACTAATCCCACTCAACCCCTGAATGCGAACCCCTCTTCCCAAAACCAAAAATGCGACCCCCTCGTTCGAATAGTGCGAACGCACGGTTGACCCTGCTTCAGGCTGGAGATGAATAGGATGCCTGTGAGCCATGGGAGCTGTCTACAGGTCGCAGATCCCTAAGCCTATAGCCTATACGTCCCAAGGAATGCTTATATACTGCAGCAGTACGTCTATTTTGGTTGGATCTCATAATAGCATGCAAACCAAGCCATTTGCAGAGATCAAAGCTGAGGCGGCGGCTACACATAGGGAGTTCCGTGACGCATATGCAAGCAGCTGTTTGGTTTATTTGTTTGGTTTACTTGCACCTGCCATAGCTAGCTAATTAAAATATGCCACAATTACATCAGAAAATTTGATTGTTTCGTCAGTAACTGCTCCTTTAATCCCTTTAGGAGTTCTTTTTGCAGCACTTTTTACCGTAAGTATTCTGATTCTTGAGCTATTCGAAGCATCAAACTTCTAGTTATCAAATTTTCTTCACCACTACAGTTGCTGATAATATCTGCTGTTCTATCCAATCTAGTCTGCTCAATTGGTTTCCTATGTAGGCCGTACACACTGAACGCTATCCACAGAAGGCAGCCACCGACCATCGCGGTACGGGCCCAGGTTAACAGGTTTTCGACCGTTTGAGGCGCTCACACAATTGCGTAAGCGACCTCCTCACTCTTCTTAGAAGATTGTCATAACACCCTACCTGACCACGCTTATTCGCATAACTGCCGTTCTTCGTCTTATACTCACCTATTCTTCCAATTTACCTCGAAAATAATTTTTGCGGATGTCGGAGAACCGGGGAACTCACACATAGGGCGGGTATACATTTATATGAAATCCTGAAAAATTGGTTTTTTTTTTCAGAAATTTCTCTTGAGTTTCAAAACCTTGATCCAAATCCCGAGAAATTCTCATGCCATCCCACCAAGTACAACCAACTTCGTTGGGAATTTCTTGAGTCCTTGTTAAAAATTTCCAAGAAAAATAAGAGGCACCAGCATGGGTAAATGCATTTATCAAAATACATATGTCAGTTATGAGTGCTCAATTGTAAACAATTATAAAAACGTAGGCAAATCAGGAAAAAATCGCTACGGATTTAGCTAATAATTGTTACTTACATAGTAATGACCTATAACAATATCATCTACGTGTTCCTTGTTACGTGTTGAGCCCTTCCTTGAGCATTTTTTTTACATAGGCTGTTCCATTATTCAGTGCCTCGGACTGGCGTAGGAGAAAATTAAAGGTAGAGGAATTAAGTAGTCCCTATGGGGTTAACCGTCACTTGGACCTATTTCAAAGCTTGCTTACCTGGAAAAGGCGTCCCCTCTCAAGGCTTTTTTAGCGGTCAATGGTCTTTACATAGTCGTTGAAGGGGCCACTGCTTGACACTGTCCGACTCCCTTCTCCCCATCCCACCCTTCCCTCCCCCCCAAACTTCCAAAACTTGCGCTAAAAGGATAGATGTGGGATGCCACAGCTGCTGAAACAACAAGTCCTTCACATCTCTCCATTTTAGCAAGGTTCTTACCCTTCATATTGTCGGTCTTTTTTCATTTACCATTTCGTCTCTTAAGTATTTAGATAATGAGGTTCTAACATTGGCGATTGTCACGGTGCCAGAGTCGCGTGTTTCACTCTGCAACTGGGGAGGGTTGCCAGGTAGATCTGGCTCATGTATCATCATACTTCGCGCAGCTGACGAAATATGTCTTTGTTCCTCGCGGATCGCCGGGATTGGTCGAGTATAGATCACCATGATTGCGCCTGGCCGAGACTTATCTTTACGGGTGTCTCGCTGTTTTTGTAGCCAGTATAACATCCTGTATTGTATTTTTCATGTGATGAGGATATTTATGTGTTCTATGTGTGAAATCGCCAATCTGTTACGTGATTTTATTATTATCATTCATATTCTAACTCCTTACGTACGTGAGCTCAAAGGGCGGAGTGACAGAAATGACGTATGAGTTTGCGATGGAGGAACAGTACGAAAAGGGGCGATGTGTGTGAATGAGTGTGGGGTATAATGTATGTAATAGGGTACGGTATATAAGGCATGAAGCAGGGTGAATAACGGTCGAGGAATTCCTCGACCATGGCTGACATCTGTGTGAGATTAGTGCAGAGAGTAAATGTACGGAGCGGAGAGCCAGGACGGTTTCGGGGATGGGCGAGGTAGATATCTGCGCGGGGGAGGAGCGTCGGGGAGCTGGAATAGGGAACATCTTGCGGACGAGCGTTGGCCGTGTTTCGACGATTTTCACTCTGGGTATGATGCACGTTGAAGAGTTAAAATTGGTTCATTACATTCTTAGCTGAGGCAATATTGTTTAGCTAGATCTAATTTGAATGGCTGCAGGGATACAAAGGCTGAATTTGTGCCTTTCAGTGCGAGTTTCATTCAACTCAATCTAATCCCGGGTTCATTTTTTCTGAAACGTTGCTCTTGTTTTGATGTCATCATATTCCTACTTCATACGATGACATCATTCTATTCCTACACTCTGAGATGACCATTGAGAATTCTATTGTTCATTGCAGTTTAATGTCATTTTGTGGTCGTTAGACTACTTGTTTATCGCGATGTCTCCATAATTCGGCCCCTGGAAATGTTTCGAGTTGCAGATGTCGCGAATGTACTCGTTATTTCTGTTATGCACCCTCAGTGCCCTCTGCCTCTCGCTACCGTTCCGACTCTCAGGACAGTTACCGTCATCACTCATCGCACGGATATCACAGCCATTTAACGAAGAGGTCAGCTGATGAACCGCTTTTTTCATCTTCATAAAAATTATGATAAAATGAGTGCATAGCTATTTGTGGAGCTGTCGATGTAAAATCGTACAACCAGAACCATGAAATCAGATCTCAAATATTGAAAAGCGATTTGACGCTATCGTAAGATAAAGGGGCATCCTAGAGGATGAGCTTGGCTGTGCAGAAACTTCAGAGAGAATGGAAATCGTTCATGCACCCTGAATTCCCTCCTCCCTTAGCTATGGCTTAGTCCCGCTTTGTAACAAAAGGTGATGTTTTTTTGGTAATAAATAAATCGCCATACCAACGCCCCTCTATCTTGCGATAGCGCCAGCAATTCTAATAGGGTGGGAACTGTTCCTCCATCAAAAATTCCATGGCAACACCAAAAAAAACCACCGAATTCCCACTGAATCAAAGCAAGTGTTTCAGGACGACGTGATTTTAATGATGCCACAACTTCGAGCACGACGATCTCAACCAATTATTGACTACACGGACGAGTTCTCCGCGGATCCGTTCGAGGTGCCAGACAGTGTGTGTACTGTATGTAGGAGAAAATTGAAAGTAGAGGGGTCAAGCGGTCCGGGCAGGGTGACCCGTCATATTGTGTCGGTTTCAAAATTCTGATGACCCCCTGCAGAGGACCCCTCATACGACTCCTCCAATGGTCGGTGGACTTCCCATCACTTGAAACAGCTCTATGCCTAAACTTCCGAAACTTGCGTCGAGAGCAGACCCAAAACAGCCAATCATACCTATCTCTTTCAATTTTGGCATGTTTCTCCTCCTTGCGAAGCTTTGGAATACGACACCATCTTAAAACAACCGTCACGATTCTTATTCCCTCCCCCCCCGCGTCCATTATGAACTCTAACCTTCTGAGAGAATAAAAGCATAATGAACAAAAGCATGGATCATCTGGCCCTTTTACTAACAAAACACATCCATTTTCTCGCCCTCTTTTCGCCAATAGTTCTTAAAACAATTGTCCTTCCTCTTATTTGTAGCGGCCTCATAAAATTAATTATATTCTGTGGTGACGCCGAAGAAATATAATAGCGTTTGAACGGGTTCACAGGTGCTCCCAAAAATTACAGAAAACGCGAACACTATTTAAATGGAACAAAGAATAAGATTATTCTAGAATTTTCTTCACATCTGAAAAATAGTAGATAGTGACGTCATGTCTATGGGTTTCTCATCGATCACTTCTCCCACTTTCAGATGCCGTTGAACAAAGGACGAAGGCCATTGTGATTGTGGGAATCATGTAGTAATTAGTTTTCATATTATTTTTCCATGTGTACTTATCTGTCCATTGGTATCGTTTGATCGTATAACAACCTCTGTGAGCATTTTGATTGCAATATCTATCGCAGTGTTTATATGCTCAACTAGACAAATGAATCTGTGAAGTTGTTAGTCAAAAGTGGAAGCCATCGGCGCCTTATCACGCCGTTAATAAGGCGCCATTGCCACTGAAACACTACCTGCTGTCTCTTTGGGCAAGACCCTATCCAAGTTCTGTGTACGTAACTTGGAATGAGGTGCACTCCTTATCGTCTCCATAGGAATTATCGTGACCACTTCCTTTAAAAACGTAATCTCGTCACAAATCATTCCCCAGCAAAGTTCGGGCTCAGACCCACTTAATAAGCCCTTATAGTGGCTAGAAGTGCGTGGGACGCAACTGCAGAAGGCGCGCCACGTTCCTGCATCGAAACGCGTCACTAAGACGCTAGACGTTAGGATTTTGACACGCTCCACCTGCTGCGACACGCTCCGCCCACCGCTTCGATATCTTGTCCGCGTCGCTGACTTGATCTGCTATGCTCTCTCTACTCGTACTTCTCTAGCGCTCTCCGCGCTCACATTATCTCTCACCTCCCTGCCGGCCTTTTGATCTTCTCCGCAACCTCGAGCAAAAGGCTCGTATTTCCTGTGTATTTTACGAATTTTCCTTTTTTCTCCATTGGCAGTCCACTTTCCACCCCTACTTCACATTTGAGTAGAATTTCCCCATCAATTTCATCCTGAATCTGCCTTAGAACAGTAAATCTCGTCCCTATCGCGTCCGAAATCCCGTTAGCTCAAATTCCCGACAGCACTGCATAATCTGGCTCGAATCCCTCACACCGAAATTAGCCTTGAATTTCTGACCGTGGAATTTGAAGTAGTCCTAGAAGAGCTCTTGTTGTGGAACTACCCAGGAAATTGCAGTTGCCCCAAAGTCTATCCACAATGTTTTTTGCGAGGCTGCAACCGAAGACTGACACTCCACATACAGTAACTACTCCTTAAAAGCACATCTACCGCTGAGTAAGACGTCCATGGATCCTTCCGAATAGTCTATGCTCCTGGACGGGTAATCGCCACGCGGCAAGTGAGCACAAAATGATATAATTGTACCTCTGCTTTCAGAAAGACGATGATACGTCGTGTGCTAACCCACACCAGTACACTACGACGCGCCTCGGTAAATCTGTTAGATAGTGTTTTCATAGTATAGTATTTATGTAAACCAGTTGCTGCCGCACGCTATTTTGCGTCGCTTGCAACACAGATCTGTGGCGAATTTTGATGGTGCGTGACGAAAAATTTCAAATTTGGCTTGATACAATACGAATATCTGAATTCTCCGCTAAATTCTATGCGCTCTTTCTTCGTCAACCATTATCCTATTTTTCTCGGTCCTCGGCCCGGACAATAAATCTCGTGGCGAACTCCGTCTACTTCGGTGCGTGCCCTGCCGACCAATAGCATTTGGCTCCCTTCTTTTCGCCGACCTCTACCCCCTTTTTCACCGGTCTCTGGGACCTCTTGGAACCAAATTACGGACACTTTTGGCAAACTCCGCCCACTTAGGGTGCGTGCTCTACCCACTAATAGCAGTTGACCTCCCTTTCCTTCGCCAACCTCTTTTCTCAGCCTCCTGGACTTCTTGGGCCGAGTTATGAATTTTCGTCGCAAACTCCGCCCACTTTGGTCATGTCCCTCCCACCATTGACAGCTGGCCTCCACTCCTCCACCCACTCCATCCACCTTTTCCGCGCTTCAGGATTCCTTGAGCCCCAAGTCATGAATTTTCGTCGCAAACTCCGCCCACTTTGGCCAAGCCCCGCCCACCATTGATAGCTGGCCTCCACTCCTCCATACACCTCTATCCACCTTTTCCCTAGCCTCCGGGACTTCTTGGAGCCGAGTTTTATATTTTCGTCGCAAACTCCGCCCACTTTGGTCAGGCCCCGCCCACCAATGACAATTAACCTCCACTCCTCCACCCACCTCTATCCACCTTTTCCCCAGCCTCCGGAGCTTCATGGAGCCGAGTTTTATATTTTCGTCGCAAACTCCGCCCACTTTGGTCAGGCCCCGCCCACCAATGACAATTAACCTCCACTCCTCCACCCACCTCTATCCACCTTTTCCCCAGCCTCCGGAGCTTCATGGAGCCGAGTTATAAATTTTCGTCGCAAACTCCGCCCACTTTGGTCAGGCCCCGCCCACCAATGACAATTAACCTCCACTCCTCCACCCACCTCTATCCACCTTTTCCCCAGCCTCCGGAGCTTCATGGAGCCGAGTTATAAATTTTCGTCGCAAACTCCGCCCACTTTGGTCAGGCCCCGCCCACCAATGACAATTAACCTCCACTCCTCCACCCACCTCTATCCACCTTTTCCCCAGCCTCCGGAGCTTCATGGAGCCGAGTTATAAATTTTCGTCGCAAACTCCGCCCACTTTGGTCAAGCCCCGCCCACCATTGATAGCTGGCCTCCACTCCTCCATACACCTCTATCCACCTTTTTCCGGCTCTTTAGGACTTCCCCGACCCGAATTATGAGGGCTTGTAGAAAATGCTGTACACTTCAGAGCGCGCCCCGCCCATTCTGGGCAGGCCTCCGCCCACGTCATGTATGCGGGAAACACCTTAGACATTGCTCCCTTACACCAAATTGTTTTCTGCTCTGTAGGCTTTCTCCCAACCGAGTTATGAAATTTTTCATAAAGCACTGCTTTTTTAGAGAACGCCCCGCCCACCGGGGGTGGGTCTCCCTAATTCGATGTTACTTACCAATGCACACCTTAGCCCACTTTTTGGCCCAGTTTCGAGGTCGTTTTTTCACTGAAATCGAAATCTTGGTCTTTGGTACAATTCATTTCGACGCACGCCACGCCCTCTTTGGGCGGGGCTCCGCTTAGCTGATGTGTGTTTTGTATTACGTGAGACCCTGCCCACCCATCCCACACTTGACCCGGTCCCTCCAGGCGGAGAGGAGCTAGGGAATTTCGTGACAGACATACAGAACGACAGACAGAGGGACAGA